TGGAATTAGAAGATAAATGCACTATTTTTAATTATAGGAAATGCGTTTTTCTAAGGTACATAAACTTTTGGGGTTGACTGTATAGCCAATACATCCTTAAATCTCTCCTTATAGAGAACAGTTTATTAAAAATATGAAACGTTACCTTCCAATATCACGACGATCTCGAACCGCTCTCGCAGCATATCGCTGGCTGATATGTGATAAAGCGGCGACTGCTCGTCGATTTTGTGTACAATCGTCGTTGGCCAAATAAAGAAAATCTTGTCCTCCTCGCCGTCACCGCCCACTTTCAACTCCGTTTGGAAGAACGGTAACAGCTCACCCTCTCTAGTAACCTAAGTTGAAAAAAGATATCATTTGTAGATATACTCCCATTCATAAATCAATCTACAGTTAAAAAATAAAAATTGTATTATTTATTAACTTATACGAATTCTGTGCTCAAGGACTTAATTGTTATTAATTAATAAACATTCCAAATATTAAATTAATGTTGATTGCTTTTAGTTAGTAATTTCAAGTAACATGCAATTACTGAAATCGTATTTTATGGGAAGTCTATTCAGTATTCAAATTATTATTAATCCAGGGAAAGGCAAAGTTGGAAGGTTCACCTTTCTTTTAATCATCTGAGCTCTGACGTGAGCCTCAATGATGTGACTTTTCCTCATGTCGCCGACACGAAACATGAGACAGGGCTGACCATCTCTTTGACAAATCACTGCGTTCCTTGAGAATAGAAGAGTCTGAGTCCTCTTCTTCGGTCGCGATAGCTTCGCGAAGACTATGCCGACCATGAACGCTTGTAAAATCACGCCCGTCATCGATTGGATGCAAATGACGACAACAGCCTCGGGACACTCGTCCGTCGGGTGCTTCGAACCATACCTGCGACATTAATCGCGATTAGAATCATGAAGAGATCGTTGTTTCAACTAAGATTCTTCATACAAGATCAAATCAACATTCCTATTATTATTTCTAGTTCATAATTCTTATTTTTTACTTCTTGTTATTCTTCCCTTCACTTTTCGCCTTCGACTATTATGCAAATCTCTCGACTGATTTACGGCTCTTCTGACGTGTCATAAAAATACACTCAAACTTTTTCGCAACACGTGTAAAAACAGTCTCATACAGAGAATAGCTCGAAACCTCACGCTCTAAGAAATTGCTTTTCCGAACAATTCCAAAGGAGTTTCAAAATCTGGAAGGGGGTTCTCACTTTAGCATTGGTTCTCCCAAATCTTTCGGGATTTCCTAAACTACTTCGTCAATTATTCATATTATGCATTCTGATAGATATTCTTTTATACGCCATATAAAATAGGCTCGAGTGAATTTATGATACTTCTATTACATATCGTATGGTCGTTTATAAATAGATTAGAAAATTGCAAATAACGATAGTTACCCAATCGTGTGCTGCGTCTCGATGGAGAACAGAAACGAGCTGGTGAACCCGCGGATGTCGACGATGCACGGGGTGAACGATATGTTCGGATTGGTGTAATTGTCTGGGTTCAGGTCCCCATGGCTGTATGCGATTAGCCACCATACCAGGGCGAAACCCAGCCAGGAGAGCAGGAAGTTCATGGAAAATACCAGCAGCGTCCAACGCCATTGCGCGTCCACCAGAGTTGTAAAAATATCCTGGAAAAATGAAATATTGTATAAACATAAGATTTAGGATGAAATTATACAAAAATGTCAGATTAAAATGGGTTACGTATTTTTAAAATTGATTTCTAAATCCATTATTTGTAATTGATATGTTTTGAAGCTTCAAGTTTGGTCACAACAATATGAATTACAATTTTTATTAATAGCATCACAGTCTCTGCACTGAAATCGAGAACAAGCTTTCTATTTCATTTTTTAACTGGTTTTATTCTTGATATCAAACAATACCGGTCTGATAATCAAATGCGTTTCGTTTATGAATACCTGGTACAAAGGAAACAGTGCTAAATATTTAGAAAGTCGGGGTACAGATTCAATAATAGGGGCAATAACGGAGTGAGAATAGTTTCGAGGGAGAGAGAGAGAGAGAGGGGCTTGACAATCGCGGATGTAATTTTAGCGAGTTCGTGAAACAAACGTTCGTTGAAATTACATCAAAGTGTTCGGTAAAGGACGGATATAGGCAATTTGGCAAGTAATTGTACACGGAAAATAGACCGTTACAGACGACCACTGGCGACTCGCTTGGAAAAGTAAGCTTTCTCGTGTTCAAATCCTTGCAAAATCGGAAAACGTCATATGCATATGCTCTCTAATATACTTTTCAAAAATCTAATCATAATTCTGAATCAACAGTCAATAGAATAGTTCTGTTAAAAATATTAATAGTAGAAATCGATTTATGAACGGAATTGTCAAAAGAATTATAAGAAACCGCAAGAAAGATACTGTTTAAAATGATTTAGAAAATACGAAATATTGAAACGTTTTTGTCAGGGATAGTACCTTCCGTAAATTTGTGGACGTCAGTGTAGTTTAAAATTACCTGAAGGTAACGACGTCGCCGCTTGGCGACATTTCCTTGTACGACGTTGCAATCGCCGTGCTTGAACACCACCCTTTTCCGTATCCTTCGCGAACTGAACCTAGTTTGCCGATATCTGAAACCAAAGAATACAATAAACACCAAACTTTTCTATGCTTTTAATTTTTCCGGTTGTTACATATAATAGAATAGTCACACATCATGTCTTATCGAGTGAAAAATTCCTGCAATGAGGATAATTGCATTTTCTAGTTTTAATAGAATTCAGAATCTATAATGAATAGTCATTTGCATCTGGAAGAAACTTTTATTCTCTCTACTGTCATGAATCACGTACAAAAATTTTTGTGATGAGGACAATTGAATTTCCCATCCCTTTGAAATAGAAGGATTAATTTATTTCAAAATTGAGTTACTTAATCATTTATCCTTTGCTAGTTTCCTTTCACATCTTTCTTCTTTTCAAAAGCGATTATTAACATGTTTTCAACTCGATTTGAATGATCTTGAAACTCCTGGAAAATCGTTCTACGGTGTCTCGTTTTGTTCGGTATCGTAAACGAAATGACACCGAGCCACCCACGGATTTTCTAAAGGCCGTTTAAAACGGTCGCATCGTCTGCTCTGTAATATACGGAGGCTAACGGCAAGCGACATAATTCAGCGTCGGACCGCTTTGGTTCGCGCCAGGGTGGACCTATCGGAGGCAATCTGCCAGGGAATCGACAGACGTGAATCCTGACGATCTCTGACGATTTTCCGCAATTATTTGTGATCATGGAACTCATCGTATAATATGCGTAAAAATCATTTTCACCCCAAAAAAAATGATGTGTTATATAGTATAATTAATTATGCATTCTGATTTGTAAATTTCATTTAATACTCGTGTCACATGTTAAAAATTATTGTATGACGCATGAAGTAATGGAGAGAACGAAGGGAGTTTATTCAATCTGTGGATTTTATGCATTTACAGAATTGTATATGCAGACAGTACAAACAGTGCATGTCACATGTAAAAATAGTAATACTCGTGTGCCATAAAATTAGATGAACATTTGAAATAGATATTAAGTTCGGTATTGATGATGTTTGGAACAAAAGAAAATAGGGATCTCTTTGCAAAGTAATTCTTGTTTGTAGGATTTTCGTGAACGTGGAAATAAGTATTGCGAGACTCTGGCTATCCAAATATTTGCTCGATCCTCTTTTATCTAGGTTACCAATGAAAGCTCGTGGCTGCCCGGCCCTAAGAATCTGAAATAAAGCTCGTAATCCGGTTTCAATGGATTGATCCACCGTTAAAAGAAGTTAATACCTATTCAAATAAATTTCGGATTATACCTAATTCGGTGAAGTGATCGGACGACGTTAATAAAACTAACAGTAATTAAGGATACTATAAAAATTCTGATCACGAAAACACTTTTTATGCTGTATTTCTCGCCTCTAGTGCAGAGCTTAAGCCTAAGCTATTGCTTCATTGAGAAGTTTATGGTCGAACAATTACCGTGAAGATTTATGGCTAATCTTACCAGGGAAACGGCAATAAAATCCAATTGAACAGTAGATAAAAACTTAGAAATTCTGAGACGGATTAGAAACGATTTGGCATGCGATCACGTTTTACTATAAATTGATGTCCCTCGTGACGAAATTTGTGGAAACGGGTTTGCCATAACGTCGCGTGTACGAAAAGGGGCAGAAGGTCTCGGAACTTGACGATACCGGATTTTATAATTAGAGACGTGTTTCGATGTTATTAATACCGTAGAACCGGATACCGATGAACTGAAGATAAACCCGATCCAAGATCTTCAATTGGTTTCTAGTACCTACACTCTCCCTATCTCAATATGAAAATAAAATTAATGTAATTCAAATAAGAGTGTTAGAGACACTGGAATCACGAAACTTGTCATTTTCATCAAACAATTAGAATTAAGAAATTTCTTAATTATGATCTTCATTTCTGGAGATTATTAATTTTTAATTTTAAAGATATTTCTAATTAGTAAAAGTGTCGTACGCCTTGAACAAAAATCGTAAAACGCATTTACAGCATTTTACAATATCTTCCCAAAATTAAAATTAAATTTTTTATAATATAACCTCTTTTTATTATTGTTAACTTTCATTTCTATCAGCTACAATTTTTAATTCATGTAGTTTTACAATAATTATTAGATAAAATTTATGGAACTTCAACTTCACATCTTTATGTCAATTTTGTATTGGATTTAATTGTTCATGTTACGATGGAAGAACAAGAATTCACATTAGAAACGTTTACAGTAACACGACCGACTAATAAATTATTTTCTATGATTATTGACTGACATTTTATGGATAACAATGTGCACAACTTTTTAAATAATCGATGTCTGCCTTTGAAATGCACGCTCGCTTTCTCACCGCGTTTATTTCTGTCCGATCGGATCCGCCAAAAATACTCACTCGCGGAACTCGGGTGAAATTCGTGCTAGACGCGGTTAGAAGAGATTTAGAAACCGAGTTCGCGTGTTTAGACAGACGTGTTGCGTAGCCACGGATTATTACTATCGCGGCTCCCAATGCGAGAGGCGCTAACTTGTTGGCAGTGTCTAACGCCGTATCTTCGTGTTTGAGTTTCCCTTGTCTATTTATAACGTCGCATCCACTCGTAAGGGTTGTTATGAATCGACTGGGACATTTCTACAAATTTCGTTTGCTCGACTATGCAAAATATTTGACGAGTTTGTAGAAAATGCGATAGAAAATCTATTGAGAATAATTTAGGATAGAATATAATAATAAAAGAATTTTAGAGAATTAAAGATTGTAAAATACGAAAGAATTCTATGATGAGATACACAGCGATTTTCTGGATTTCCCTCATCTATTTTTAACGTCGTATCCACCCATAAGATATAAATTGTTACTGTGCAAAATGTTATAAGAATTTATAAAAATGTGATAGAAAGTATATCCAGAATAATTTAGAGTAGAATAGATTAATAAGAGAATTTTATAAAACGATATAAAGAAATTGTAGAATGCAAAAGAATTTTATGACAAAATACATAAATATTTTCTAGACGTAATAACTATCCACAGTAGACGAGTCTGTTCGACGTCAGACGCCAAGCATAAGCTAACAATGTTTGTCTTGATCAGAAAACCAGGAGAGAAGGAAACAACTTCGTTTGCTTTCGTTATCCTAGTTGAACGACGGACATGTCCTCAAGAGAAGCTCTAACCATATTTCTAGTCTTGTCATCTGATTTGTTATCTTATGATATACAAATATTACTATTTTTACATATGACATGCACTGCTTATATTATCTGCATACACAATTCGGTAAATTAATAAAATCCACAGATTGAATACAGTCTGTTTATTGTCTCCATTACTTCGTACATTATATAATAATTTGTAATATTTAACACGAGTATTAAATGAAACCTGGAAATGTATTTAGAAATTGGAGTGTATAAGTGAATGCACTGTATAACACAATTTTTCCTGTAATATGCATTATATGACTCTTATACAATTTCTCATAGAGGAGCTCTAATTATATTTCTGATCCTGTTCCCATCCTTCATATAATACTCAAGTCTATGATAAATATTGTATCAAATATAATAAATGCAATCAATTAATATAATGAATATTTCAATTGAGATGCAAATTTTGAAACTGCAATATTAATGAGGAAACGATTTGTTTTTTCTATCTTGGCGTTCGAGGGATTCTTGAAACAGCAAAATTAAAATTTAATTAGAAGATTTCGATTTCGTTCATTTTTAATGAAAATTGCTTTAACCATTTTAACTAACGAATCTTCAATTACTTTCATTGTACTTTCATCACGAAATCAGCTGTAGTGCTAATACAAAATTAGAGACTACGTCAATAAGTTAGATTCTTTTAGATAACATCGTACAACACAATATTATTTTGGAATATCCACTACGTGATTCTTACAAATTCCCATGTCAAAAACAAGAACAGGCGTTTTTAATAAAGAAATCACAAACACAAAAACATGGAATAGATAATTCTTCCCAAAAATCATGAATTTTTATAAAAACCGTTAGTACAATTCTGTCTCAGGATTTGCTTTTGACATGAGAAACTATAAAAATCATGCAGTGGATAAAAAATGGAAGAAGTTCTTTTTTCATAATTGAAACGTGTGTTGCGAAAGTGTTTTTACACGGTGTAGGAAAATAGTTTCACAAATCCGACAAAATTTTCAAGCTGTCTTCCTCGAAGGGACCTAGACCGCGGTCAGATTTGGCCTGGCGAACGACGTTCTAAATTCGTGGTGGTCTCGCGTCGTTCAACCCTGACATATTGACCCGGGATGAAAATAGATGAAACGGCCGCACACCTGTTTTACGCGACTGTCACCGGGAATGCTGGAAACCCGACGAGATTCTCTCCCCTCGCGTAAGAACGCGCTCGTTTCAACCCTTTCGATTCTAATGTCACGATAACCGTAGAAGAGGTCAGCCGCTTGATTCAATAATAAAAGTGTTCACAGGACGATTGCGTTCATTATAATTAATACAATTTTTTATAGTAGTCGCTTTCTTTTTTTTGTTATATTATTGAGTTGAATCTTTCTAAACTTGTGAATAGAAACATGAGCAACCATAGCTGTACTAAAAACGAAACGGCGAGACTGTAGACCGCAAAAATGAACGAGCTACCGGTAGTCATTAATTTTAATAGTTCGCGGAATGAGATTTTATATCATAGGCTTAATTATAGGCTTAATTAAGATTAGGAAGTCTATAAAACAGGATATTAAGGTTTCGGGGCTAATTGATCTCTAGAAGTATCGATTAGGAAATGGACAGTTTGCACAATGTTTCGAAATGTATCGGCCCACGTCGGTGCAGCGTAGGCTAACCGCGGGTAAAACGGGCCGATTTAGCGCAGACGAGAAAGTGGTCTGTGATTATGATAACTAGCCGCATTAAGACTAATGAAACGAAACTCGGCGAGATTGTTACTTGAAGAATGTACAGATACGCGCAAAAGTATTTCCACGTTTCTTAGAAGAAAGTTATCTCCATTACATCGTATAGTACACATATAACTTTTTTAATATGGAAT